GCGCTCTAGTGTCTGTTGTGCAGCTGAGCCAAAGAGTTGTCCGGGGACTACCGGAAGGCCCCTCAGTGATTTCCTACAGGCCTCAGACAGGGGTGATTGTGCAAGCCAGACTTGACGGCATGCCTGTGTGAGTGTTGACATAAGCCTACCCAATTCTCTTGTCATGAATGCTATTTACTGTAACGTAGCATCACTTAAGTCCTGGGTTGTAGCATCACTTCCAGAATACTGAAGAGACTGGGACAATGCCAACATAAGATGGGAGAGAGAATTGCCAATGCGACCCTTATGCGCTGCAGTGTTATATGCTTGTATAAGAAGATCATCCGTAATCCGACATTGAGGCTGAGGGCAACGGACATCAGGCCTCAAAACCTCTTCTGGAGAGAGAACAAACGAGGCAATAATTGGATCAACCTTAGGCATCTGACCCAGGCCAAAAGTGTCTGCATCTTGCATTTGCCATATTAGATTTTAGTAGCACACTGGTCAATCAAAAATACTGTTCTATGCAACAGTTAAGACATGTAACGAGAGTTACGAATGTAACTGCAGTTCTATGAGTTCTTTCTGACCGCCAGAGGCAGTGCTTCACACTGAATGTTATCTCATCGCAGATGCACAGGTCGAGTCTAATACGAACAAAGTCCCTCGTGACCAGGATGACTCGGGGTCCTCCCCTATTTAACCCCCGTGACTTCCTGCAGACTGTCCCTACGGAATCTTCTCGCCCTGACTCTGAGTGACAGAAAGCTCTGGCGTTCATCCAGAACTCATAGAACCGCAGTAACATTCGTAACTCTCGTTCTATTTCGTTCTTTCTGACCACCAGAGGCAGTGCTTCACACTGGATGACTTATAACCACAAGGTCACGAGGAAGCCCTGTTTACCTCTAAGAAGTTGAGGGTCCCAACAGGACAGCTGTTTCAAAAGTATCCGATGCAGCCACATTAATCCTGTAATATCGGGAAAATGTGTTCGTAGATGACCATGTCACTTAGGGGGACAACTTTTAGTGCCGCCCAAAACGTTGAAATGCTTCTCGTTGAATGACATCTCACTCCCGATGGCAATGGACAACCAGTAGACTTGTAAGCATGGGTGATAACCTCCACTACCCAATGTGACAATCTCTGCTTTGAGAGGGGCTGACCTTTTCTCTGCCCCCCAAAGCAGAGAAAAAGCTGGTCTGATTGCCGAAAATCTTCTGTGGCCCTGAGGTAGCCACAGAGAGCCCTTACCGGGCACAAGAGTCTGCATCCACTTCTTTCTTGTGAATCCAACCTTGGAGGATTGAATACTGCCAGCTCAATAGCCTGATTTTTAAACAGGGCAGAGAACCTCTTGGGGAGAAATGCTGGGTTTGGCCACAACTTCACTACCGAACCATCTGCATTCCAGCACATGCAGGTTGTATTAACTGATAATGCGTGGAGCTCACTCACTCATTTAGCTGAAGTAATGGCCAAGAGAAAAGCTGTCTTCAATGAGAGCCACTTCAAGTCACTGTGCTCCAAAGGTTCGAATGGAGGTAATGTAATAGACTTCAAGACAAAACTCAGGTCCCATGAGGGTACCTGAATGATCTGAGGGGGGCGCAGTCGCTGTGCACCTCTAAGGAATTGAGTAACCAAGGCATGAGATCCCAATGGCTGCCCATCTATTCGTACATGATGTGCTGAAATTGCAGCCACATAAACTCTTAAGGTAGAAGCTGCCTGATTATCTTTCAGCAGAGATTGCAAAAAACGTAACACCAAAGGGACAGGACATACCTCTGGGGACACTCTTTGCTCCCTACACCAATCAGAGAAGAACTTCCACCTATAAGCATAAGCACTCCTGGTGGAAGGTGCTCTAGAATTCATTATAGTGTTCTGTACATCCTGATCACAGACTCTCAAAAGTGGTTCTGGCCCTTCAGAGGCCAAACACAGAGCTGTAGGCGGTCTGGATTTGGGTGCCAAATCTGACCTCCCAACTGGTGGAGGAGATCCATCCTCCTGGGAAGGCTCCAGGGCTCCCCTTCTAAGAGCCTGAACATCATTGGATACCAGGGTCTCCCTGGCCAGTTTGGTGCCACTAGCAGTAGCCTGTGGTGTCCCTGAAGGACTCTGTGAACAGTTGCTAAGATCAATGGTATCGGGGGAAAGGCATACAGTAACTGATCTGGCCAGTCGTGGGCTAGAGCATCCTGCCCCAAAGGACTGGATTCTTATGCTAGTGAAAACCAGAGGGGGCACTGGGTCGACGTTGCTGAGGCAAAGAGACCTACTTCTGCTCTGCCAAACCGCTGCCATATCATCTCCACCACCTCTGGGTTGAGACTCCACTCCCCCGACGGAGGTCTGTGGCGTGACAAGAAATATGCCACCACATTTGTCACTCCTGGGATGTGCATGGCTCTGATATTTGCAAACCGAGGGAAGGCCCAGGTCAACAGCTCCTGTGATACTTGAAGAGACTGGCTGGATTTCGTGCCCCCTTGATGGTATAAATCACTGATGCATTGTCTGACCTGACAAGAACATGCCTGCCTTCCAGATTCAGTGCAAAGTGCTTCAGTGCACTGCTCATAGTTCCAGGGTATTTATATTCTCCCCTCCCCTCACTTAAGTCCTGGGTTGTAGCATCACTCCCAGAAGACTGAATAGACTGGGACAATGCCAACATAAGATGGGAGAGAGAATTGCGCCAATGCGAAACACTTTTGCAACTCATCGATAAAATCTTTAGATGGTGGAATGGTAAGAAGAGATGGTTGAACCGAAAAAGCACTAGAAGCACTAGTAGAGGTTGCTGCTGCCGGGGCTGTATCAAGACCTAGGCGAGCCAGTGCAGCCTGCTTCACCTGCTTCACCACTTCCTGCTCTGACTGTGGACATTCCACAGATCCACGATCAGTATCCTGGGATTCCTCATAAGAGACCTGGGACTGAATCTCTGATGTAACCTCCCTTTCTTCATCCTCATAGAACTGACTGTGAGAAGCATTCACAGACGTGACATCCTCCTCAGAAATGGGTGACTTCAAAGTTAGAGCTTCAACTGAAGAAACTCGTTTCTCAGACGTTTGCAAATTCAGAAGCAAAGACTTAATCTGAGCAAACTCAGCAGTCAACACATCCACCTTCTTAGCTAAGGGATCTTGTTTACCAGCTTTACCAGCTGAAGTACACGTTGCTTCAGCATGTTTACGTTTAGCTGTCGATTTACGTGGTGGTGTTGGTAACTCACCCAAGAGTCCTTCCACCAAAGCTATCCTTGAAGTCTTCCTCTCCCAAGACATAACTCTGCAGTTCATGCAAGCATCCTGTTCCAAGCCTAAACAGGAAGGGCAGCAGTCGTGCCCATCATCCTTCTGCAGAGTGGCAATACACAATGTGCAGGCATGAGATACTTTTTCCACCCTAGCCCGGATAAAATTCCTGTAAGCCGAGCGAAAACATTCTGACTATCACTATATTCATTAAAGCCTTTTCACCGGACTATTTCAGATATATATCTGAATAACAATCTGTGTGTAAATAAATATGTATGTATCCTTAATGTTAAACATTTACAATATACACACCTAATACATGAATGCAAACTAAGCCTACACGCATTCAGCAGAGCATTTAGTAGAATCGCAAATAGATACACACAGATACCGAACAGAGCGCACCCACTCTTAATGCGGTCTCTTACAGCTGTGAGATACTACAGTACTATCCGGCAGCGCCACAGAGCGAAAACACTCTATCTAGCCACCAAACAATACCGGGGAAAACGAACCCTGAGCATAAATGTACCAAACTCACCACATTATTCTGATGAATTCAACTGAATCCGATGCAGCCTCTGGAGAACGCGCAAAAAACGGATTCCAAGTGTCTTCCTTTAATATTCTCCGACCTGTAATACATGCACGCAAGAAGATTATAGGGGCAGTATGCAGGAAGTCATGGGGTTAAATAGGGAGGACCTCGAGTCATCCTGGAGATAACCTCCAGTGTGAAGCACTGCCTCTGGCGGTCAGAAAGAACTAAATAGAACAAACTGTGCTTTAAGGTTTTATTTATGCAAGTCTCAATCAGTTAACAGCCTACTACAGAAATGAATAATCAAATGTAAAATAAAATGGCATAGTCTTCACTGTAAGAATTAAACTTTCTTTGTTTCTTATGAACGCTACAAAAGTCCTTCACCCAAGAGCAGTGTGTGATTTTGAATTTGTCTTTTGTTGTTTGATTAATATTAAGCACACAGTCGCAGCAGGAATATTACCCGCTGTCACTTTAAGAGCAGTACAGATCCAATTTACTGTTACACGTGTATTTTCATTCTCAACTGTTTACATTCATTTATTACATGACCGTTGAAGGTATACATGAATAATCACTAAGCATGGCATTTTAACACATTTTTGCGTGTATTTGACCATTTAGGCGCACATCTTGAGCTAAAAGATGACTTTACATGTCCGTGTTCTGCTCCGTCTCAAAACGCATATAACGTTATCTTTCTGAGGAGCACGGCAAGTTCTCTTTCACGCTTTTAAAAACATTAATAAATCTAATACTTCTATAAATCAACCACATCCCATTTTGCAAAAGTCACGTTACATGATTTTACTGATTAGCGCTGGAAATGGGGCAGAATGGGGCGCAATAATTGTTTTATCTAGATTATTGTATTTTCATAACCGTTGGAGGCCAAAATCGAAATCGAAATTGTTCACAGTAGGGCTGGGCAAAAAATCGAATGCGATTTTCATGCGAATCTCGTCAGTAAAGCTGCTTCTGGTGATTAGTAGTAAATCTCCAGCATGTGCTTTCAGATGGAGCGGCATTTACTACACAGAGCGGTAGATCACTGACAAGCTACACAAAATTGCGTTCAAAATCGCAGGCGATTCATTCGATTTTTTGCACAGCCCTAGTTCACAGGTTCAATATGAACCTGTCAGACCAAAATCACCATATCTAGACTAGATGTCATGTGTTTTATTTCAATGATGCTTCACTTCCTGGGTCACTACTTGTGGACTGAATCTGAAACCTTTGTGTTTGCAGGTCAGATCCTTTCTGATAATCATATAATTTACTGATGTTCCTCGCTCTGTTTTCAGATGTTGAGACCAGTGGAAAGATCCAGGAGATGGGTGTTCTTGCCATGATACCCGCTCTTCTGTCTGCGCAGAACTCGTGTACACCAAAAGTAGCCAACATCATTGCAGAGGTGGCCAAAAATGGTAAGTGCTCCTGCATCGCCAGTGGTTGCTTCCTACATCATTTCGGACTTACTGACACCTAGTGGTGTGGATGCAGCTTCACGCAAAAGTCAACAATGGCATAAACCAGCCTATGCTGACAAGGAGATCCTCATATTTACAACACAATACAGTCCAAACCATTGTCACTTCCCATTGCCACCACGGGTCGACAGTGGGATGTGTAGGGATGTTTGGAGGACTGGAAAAGGAGGAAGTATGAGGGAAAAGGGAGGAAAGAAGGAAAAAGGTGGAATCAGGAGGAGGAAAGAAGGGGAAAGATGAAAGAAAAGGAAGAAGAGGAGGGGAGAGGGAAAGGGGAAAAGGAGGGAGAGGAAATAATCCTGAATCCTAAGGCGGGTGTGCTAGGCTTGTCTGCTGGACGTTGGATGGAGGTGTGTTTGTAGATCGGGTCCCTGCCTTCCCCCAGGGTTTAAATGTGGGTATCCTTGTCAGTGGGCAAATATTTTCATTATTATTATTATTGATATTATTATTATTGGGAAGAGGATGAGGGGGAGGGGAGGAGGAAGGAAAGTGAAAATACTTCACAAAGAAATGAATAATCTCAACATCCACAATACTCAACACTCCCAACCTATATATAAATGCGAGTTCTTTCAATTCGATAATCCAGCCTTCCAATGAAGCTAATTGAAAAGCCCTGCTATAATAGTATCCCAATGATAATAAAATAACACTGGGCCCGTGTTATGCCATTTATTTAGGCTACTGATATAACTGAAATCTACGTTTTGCGCGTTCATGATTTTTTCAATTTTTTCCCCTTCAAAAGTACTGTTCAGTTCTTCAGAGATATATTTTTGTAATGAAAAAAAAAAACCCCGAGTGAATCTTTAAGAAAGATTTAGGTAATAAAAATAACTGCCATTGTAATAATCAGTGTCTTCATTTTTGTGAGTTCAGAGCCTTAATATACTGCCTTTATTTCACTAGCCTTAGTACAGCTCTATATTATCATTCCTAATAGAAACCTGTTTTAAAATAATAAAATAAACCTGTTTTGCCACTCAGGTCTGTTTGTTTGTCTCTGCTATTCTCTGCTTCTTCTCCCCCTCTTCTCGTTTCACTGACGCTGTAGTCAAGTCTGTGGCCGTTCATGCATGTCTTTATTACTGCTATTGACATGTAAGCTATAAGATCAGCGCGGCAGAACCATTCGATCTCAAAACAGACAAACAGATTAAAATTGAGTTGACTCATAAACACACCGCACTACGCGTGATGCAGTCCTGAGATAGGCAGTGCTATATGAGAAAATGAATATTTATAACTGCAGTAAGCACTTTTAATTTACTACTCTTGATAAAATTTCATTTTTCTGCATCTAACAATTGTTTTGAAAGTAAGTGTCAATTATTGCTTTAATTTATCAATTAAATGGCTAAAAAATAAAATAATAATATCTGAATGTATGCTGTACAGAAAAGGAATTTAAATCTTTTAATTTACTACTCTTGATAAAATTTCATTTTTCTGCATCTAACAATTGTTTTGAAAGTAAGTGTCAATTATTGCTTTAATTTATCAATTAAATGGCTAAAAAATAAAATAATAATAACTGAATGTATGCTGTACAGAAAAGGAATTTTAAATATAAATGCGTTATTAATATTAATATTTGTTATTAATATTAGTGCTGTCAAACGATTAATTGCGATTAATCGCATCCAAAATATATGTGTGTGTACTGTGTATATTTATTATGCATATATAAATACACACACATGCATGTATATATTTAAGAAAATTATGTTACGTTTATATATTAAATATATTTATATTTAATATAAATTATATGAATATAAATATACATATAAATGTATACATGTAAATGTTTTCAAAATATATACTGTATGTGTGTGTATATATACATAATAAATATACACAGTACACACACATACTATGTAAACAAAAACTTTTATTTTGGATGCGATTAATCGCGATTAATTGTTTGACAGCACTAATTAATATTAATTGCATGTAGGTTTTTTCATTAAAAACATGCATTACTTGCATTACATGATTTAAATATAAAAGTCATCATTTTTATTAGCGGTTTTATTACACTGCCTGTAAAATATTTTAAATATGTGAAGATTTTAAAGGGATAATTCACCCAAAAATGAAAATTCAGTCATCGTTTACTCACCCTCGTGTCGTTTCAAACCTGTAAGACTTTCGTTCATATTCAAAACACAAATGAAGACGTTTCTAATATTCTGTCCACCCATTAAAAGTCTAGGTAATTAACATTTTCAAGCTTCAAGAAGTACATAAAGGCATCATAAAAAAAAATCCATATGAATCGAGTGGTTTAACCCAAGTCTTCCGAAGAAAAACAACCATTTCATATGAGCAACAGATTTAATTTGTCATTAATGTGATTAGTGCTGTCAAACAATTAATTGCGATTAATTGATTTATGATATATTAATGCAGAACAGAACATGTTTATTCACAAACATCTCTTTATTTGTACAAATCGCTGCACAATCATTTAATCCCGAATTCCACAGACTCAAATTGAAAGGCATTTGTTTGTGGTTAGTAAGATACATGTATAAAATGTATGCAGTACATGGATAATTGTGCGTGCATCTATTAATCATTTAGAGTCTAATATCATCCCATATTTACCAGCCTGGTTTACATTACGCAGGCGCAACCTGCAGTCCTGCAGAGTCAGTGTGCTTCTTCACCTAAAGCTTTTAGTCTAATTACACAAGTGTTTTTTTAGAGCACACTTCAGACAGATAGAGCTGGGGTTTGGAAGTGTATGGAGAGTGCCTGAGATAAAAATGTTAAAATAATGAATGGCCTTTTAGCAGTTTGCTAGGTAGCTAATGACAGTGGCCTGCTGGTGTGCCAGATCTCTGGCAGCTCCTGCTGGCATTCGGCTGTCAGCGTTCCTCGGGGAACATCTGCGTTTCATCTGCAATGTCTCCAGCACTTTCTAACAGGAGCAGGATACATTTTAGGATTTCAGTGATGCATTTGCTACAGTACGGTTTACTGCGCTGTTACTATGGTGCATTGATTATGGTAATTCCTTAGCACCAGTGTTGTTGTTGTTGTTAACTAAAACTATTAAAAATGGTTAAATAAATAAATAATATTTTATTTTAAATGTAACTTATTTTTTTAAATTTAATTTAAAATGTAATTATATTAATACTAAATATATTAAAATGTATTAATTGAATTAAAGCTGAAATAAAATCTACATATTAGGTGAAACACTTGAACTTGTGCACTAAACCTTCCATAAGAAGCCATTATTTACATCATTTATCTGGAAATTCAATCATTTACAAACATTTAAACATTCAAAATATTAAATATTTTTTGTTTAGTTCAATTTTTTGAAAATGTGACTGATGCTGCTTGTCAGTGTTGTTAATGTTGACTAAAATGAAAACGTTTATTTATTTACGCTAATTCAAATAAATCTGAAAAAAAAATATATATAAATAGTAGAGAGTGGTTTAACCCAAGTCTTCCGAAGAAAAACAACCATTTCATATGAGCAACAGATTTAATTTGTCATTAATGTGATTAGTGCTGTCAAACAATTAATTGCGATTAATTGCATCCAAAATAAAAGTTTTTGTTTGCATATGTATGTACTGTGTATATTTATTATGTATATATAAATACACACACATGCATATATTTAAGAAAAATGTTATGTTCATATATTAAATACATGTATATATAACATAAATTATGAGTATAAATATATATATGTAAATATTTTCAAAACATACTGTATGTGTGTATTTATATTTACTTAATAAATGTACACAATACACACGCACATATTATGTAAACAGAAACTTTTATTTTGGAATGCGATTAATTGTGATTAATCGTTTGACAGCACTAAATGTGATCAAATATTGTAAATGTGTTTGAGATTCAATTCTTTATATTTATATAATATCATAATATTTATAATATTTCACATGTATTTTGCTTTTATGAGTGTACCATTTGCCACTTTTGACTGTTTTTGGCAACATTATTCTCCGTGGATGTCTATCTTTTCAAAATCCAATCACAGATGTGATGTTAACAGGGTTGAATAACAGCTTGGCAGACTAAACTAGAGTACAGGAGAGCTTTCTGTGTGGAGCTGAGAATCTATTTTTCCTTTTTGCTTTGTAGACGTAATTTCAGTCTGTTTTTGAACTCTGTTTGACAGAACCAGTCATTCGCCGTCAGATAAGTTACCTTGTTTATGCAACAGCAAATCAGCAATTAAATTTATTGTGCGAACACATTCTGTGTAATTCTGTGTTCTTTGATCAGCTTAATTAGTCTCTGATCTGTGGTTTTTAAGTACTAAATCTTAAAAAATATATAAATAAATAAATAATTGTTATTTTTTTATTTGATTTAATTAACTTTATTAAATATTTACCAGGCTCTGGTATTAAACGTTTATTTATTTACGCTAATTCAAATAAATCTGAAAAAAAAAAATATATAAATAGTAGATTCAAAAAATTACATTTAAAATCTTAAATGTTGCATTGGCAGCTAACTGAAACCAAAATACATTTAAGTTGAAGTACTAAAATTACTCAAATTAAAACTGAAATAAAAATTAAATTAAATTAAAAAGAAATATTTAAAAGCTAATAAAAATGACAAATGCACAAAACAAAATTACTATAACTTGTACCAAATTAAAAAGAAAACTGAAAATATAAAAATAAAAGCTAATTTAAAAATATTAGGATACCAAAATAGTAGTAAATAACATGATACAGTGTACTAAATGATTATTACATTCATATACCATGGTAACTTAAAAGAGAACTGAGGTATTACGATCTAAAACATGGTAATACCTCGGTACCATTTACATCAAAATATCTAGTCATCAATTCTAAAAGAATACAAACAAATTGCTACTTGGATGGAATAAGAATTAAGATCAATTACTATGCAATAGTAACATTTATCCAGTAGGATTTTAATTGATTGTTAGAGGATTCTTTTTTTGATCCCTTTATGGCTCAAAATGTTGGTATTCCTAGGGGTGTGCCATATCATACCATCCACGATAATACGGTATGATATGGCATACATTTTTACATGATAAATAAAGTGTCATATCGCGATGTCAATGTATGTCAACGTATGGCGGATATACGTTCCCTAGTGCACACAACAACAACACAACAAACCCAATAGGTGTGTTCAACTTGAAGCAGCGCTGCGCAGACTGATCGGTGTATGACATCAAAGTATTGTGGGAGTGGTTCTAGAGCATATTCAAGCGCACACTCTTACCTTCAAAAATAGGCGAGGCGCCTATCTTTAGCGAAGCAGTGTGGAGAGCCGCTTCTGGGCCGCTTCTGAAACGGCCACTCTAGCCTCATTGACTAGAGTGGCCGTGTCGGAGACGTAACGCACCGCAGACGCGTGCAGTGTAAATAAGGGGTAAGTCACTCTCGTGGTATTTTGACGTCGTACACCGATCGGTCCGCTTCAAGTCGAACACACAGCTGCTGCTGCCACCTTATGACAATAGATTTACACTTCAAATGAGGTAGTCTGTCATCGATGACAGTAGCTCATTGGAAAAGGATGGAAAATGCCCTTCATTTTGTTTGCATAATAAATGTTGCTGCCTGCCAGCTGTAATCACTAATAAAACGTGTTCCATGTTTTTTTTCTATATCATCATAAATATCGTTATCAAAATATTCTTGAAATATTGTGATATAATTTTGAGGCTATATCGCCCACCCCTAGTATTTCCATTTGCAATCTTGTACATTCAAGGATGTTTTGTGGAGTCATGATTTAGACGTGCATAAAGAGCACTAGTTGAATCTACCACACAGATATCTACTGCACAGATATACTGATTTTAAAGGATAAGTTCACTTTTAGAATAAAAATTTCCTGATAATTTGCTTAGATGTTCATGTCTTTCTTTCTTCAGTCACAAAAAAAAAAGTTTTTTGAGGAAAACATTCCAGGATTTTTCTCCATATAGTGGACTTCAATGGTCGCCAAAGATTTGAAAGTCCAAATGCAGCTTCAAAGGCCTCTACACTATGGAAGCATATAGGTAGCGAAATTCAATTTAAAATGCAGTACCGAACGTCTTGAGCTTTGAGCGTCTTACACTGCGGGTGACCCACGTGACGCCAGCGTCTTGAAATTAGCTGGTTTTTAAACATTTAAGGAGCCAAGCTGCTGTGTAAAGACTATAAATGGACATTACAAGCATTACAATAATGACATTTTAATTTCGCAACTTAATAAAGCGTTCAAATGTGCATGCAATTTACATATTAAGACTACTGTTGGAAATGGCAAATGTAAATTATATAATTTAATTTTCATTTTACTTTTGCACCAAACTTTGCACGTATGGGTAATGGAAAATGTAAATTTAAATACAGAAATACAATGCCATTTTGAATATTGCATTGCCATTTTGCATATTGCATTTTAAATTGAATTTCGCTACCTATATGCTTCCATACTACACGATCCCATCTGAGGGATAAAGGATTTGGAAAGTGATAGTAATCAGTGTTGAATACTACTGTAAGGTTAACCCACCCTGGTTTACATGTTTGAAAATGATTAACAGTTGAAAACATTAGAAATGTAGAAAAGTAATCAAATGTAATCAGTTACATTAATAAAGTAATTGAAATAGTTACACTACTTATTACATTTTAGATAGGGTAACTTGTAATCTGTAACCTACTACATCTCCAAAGTAACCTTCCCAACACTGGCAAATTATCAGCAGGTTTTTATTCTGGAAGTGAACTTGTGCTTCAAGTCAGTCAGTGTTTATCTGATTGAGCTGAAATGGTTGCGTTTCTCTGCAGAATTCATGAGGAGCCCGTGTGTGGAAGCAGGACTCATTCCTCCTCTGGTTCAGCTGCTAAACTGTAAGGACCAGGAAATACTGCTCCAGACGGGACGAGCCCTCGGCAACATCTGCTACGACAGCCGTAAGTGCCCATTATCGCTCCCTCAGCCTTTCCCGGCCCCGCCGCATCTACTGTGAGGTATCTCCGGGTGTCTGGGATGATCTGAAGGGGAGCTGCTGCTACAGTTGTCTGAATGAGTGACATGAGGAGGGCAGAGCAGCTGATAGCTGAGCGAGAAGATGTCTAGCTAAACTTTTCCTGCACTTTTTCATTTCACACATGGTTTCCAAAGGTAATTGTACAAGAGCTTATACCATTGCTGAATTCTTGATTCTGATTGGTTGACGTCCCAAATAGTGTTGGGCGATATGCTCAATTCACGATATTATCGTATATTATTATTATCGTGCTAATTTATTTAATTGTTTATTTATCTAATTTCATAGTCGGAAAGTGAACCAACTCCAGCGTAAGGCTAAAAGCAGCCTAATGTTTTTAATATGACTGAACTTGTATTTAACATGATTCAATAGAAACATTGTAAGTTACTAATCATAAGGCTTACATTTCCTCAGTTGTTCAAAAAGCAGCTACAGAAAACGAGCAACGAACCAAAGAACATCATCACAAGTTCAGTCTAGCGCATTTTATGATATTATGCACATATTATGCACATTGTTGTTCGTGATGAGAAAATTTGTGAGAGAGCAGTGAACAACAAAACTTTCAGCGATGACTCATCTGAACGCATCTGATTGGCCGCTGCATTCATAAGCTTAACATAATCGTGTGTGATTGGTTATAACGCACAACACTGTAAAAAATATGGAAAAAGAAATATGATGGAACAAATAAGCCCCAATATTAATTAGATCGTATTACTAGCCTAATAATAATCGTCAAAGGCATCAGCCACAGGCAATATCTCTAACTATCGTCGATACACGATACTATTGTCTATCGGCACACTACGCCCCAACGTGAATGTGGTGGAAGAGGAATAATTTGACTCTAGATTATTGAATTCATGCACACTTTCGCATCAATAATTAACTAGTCCATTGGTAATTATTTTGTACATGAATCATATTGATGACCTAGCAGTGGTTGATTGAAATTATGATAACCCTTTACTTAATACTATAGTTTGTTCAATGGATAATTCTTTGTCCGATAAATTAAATACAATATTGTCTTGTTCATTTGAAATAGTACATTCGGATGAAGTTACCTCCCGAAGTAATTGAAATTATATCACATTTTTTCCTCCCTTCGTTGTAGAGAGAGTGTACAAATATTTTATGGCTGTAATGTGTTTTGCTTTATTTGCCCGCTCAGGATCGAGTGATTTTGACTGATGGAAAGACGAGGACGCATCCATTTTTCTGCAGATTTATTGAATTAATCCAGTGACTCCCATCTGTGATTATTTAAACCTATAAAACATAAATCATATCTTAAAAATCAGTTTCTCAAAGTGTGATTTTTACTCTATTTGTGTTCATATTAGTGTACTACTATGTACTAACATTGACAAATTCACTTGTAATTTGTATATACAATTTAAAATTTACAGTTGAAAAATATTGCTGACTCATACTGCACTGCATAGATTGTTTTTCAATCAAATTCTCTCTAGAGCGAGAATTCCACTCCCCTAACACCTAACCAATTAACAGGCAGCAAATCATGCTTCATTTGTGTGAGCAGGGCCGGATTTACGCATAGGCATTCTAGGCACGTGCCTATGCTTCGCAGCTGAAAAGCTACATGACATTTCTCAGTAGCGAGATTCTTGAAGCAGTTCAAAAGTTCAGATTCGCTATTAGTAGACTCTGCTGCTGAACGCTGCTGAGAGACGCACAGACGCAGGTATTCACACGCACTTAATCTCTCTCTCTTTCGCTCTCTCTCTCTAATAACTGCGTTAGACTGCATTAATAACTGCGTTAGCCTGTATATCAATGGCCCAAGCCTCTGTTATTAGCTCTAAAATGACGTTTTGGAATTTGCAACGGAAGGTTTGGGATGAGGTGCAAAAATAGTTCAACACACACGAGATTTAAGGACAGAAATATGTTCAATATCTTGAAACAAATCATCTGAACAATTGATGTGTGGTTGTGACTCCAGGCCGTTAAAATTATTAGAGAAATAATGCACTCCCGAAGTGGTTATGTGGCCACATCGCCGCACCTATTAATGGAACGATCTTTCTCACTTCTCAAACAAATTAAGAACTACATTCGATTTTTATTGACAAAACGCAAGCGCTTATTGCTGAAAATACTGTAACGGTTTCACTGATTAAAAAATATTTTTGTTTGCTTGGGTGGTAATATTAGGCCTATTATATTAATAGGGAAGGGGGGCCCAAAAATTTGCTTTGCCTATGTCACGAAAAGAGGTAAATCTGGCCCTGCATGCTGTGAGGTAACTATAGCCTGTTGGCTTTAAAAAAAGGGACGAGCATATTATAATGCACCACCTAAACTTCAAGTTTAATAAAAAATACATCAAAAATGAGAAAGAAAACTGCAGTTTTATTATGCAGCTGATATAATGAGTCTTCAGCTCATGTGAGTGCGCTCAATATGTTTTACAGTGTACCTTTAAAACAGTTAATTTCTTTATGTATGTATTTATTTATCTGTTTGTTTGTAGCTAATATGTAGGGAAGGCCAATTCCACCACACAGGGGAAAAAAAATCATAATTATGACAAAGTCAAAATTATAAAGTACTAGGTAATAATTTTGACGTAAAGGGTCAAAAAGTCTCAAAAATTCCATAAAGTAAAAAAAAAAAAAAGTCATAATTGTGACTTAGTATTTTAGATTTGAATTGTCAATTGTGACTTTATCTCATAATTGTGACTTACGGATGACTTAGTATGTCATTAATTTGAATTTTATTTCATAATTATGAAGTTTGAATTTTTATTTCAAATTGGTGACTTGGTATCTCATTTGTTTTTACTTTCTATATCAAAATTATGACTTACCTCATCTCATTTTGACTTTTTACATCCTAATTGTGGCTTAGTTTCAAATCTTATAATATCAACTTTTTATGTCACAGTTGTCACAATCACTTAGTATCTCATTATTTTTTATGTCATAATTATGACTTAGTATGTCATACTCTTGACTTTTTGATTTATAATTTAGTATATCATAATTTATTCATAAATTTTTTTTTATGTCATACATATGACTTTCTATGTACTATGAAGACGTCAGATAGAGGTATATTTCTACAGCAGTGACAGCAGACATTAATATTGTAAGATATACACAGATTCACAGAAGCCGCACACATCTGTTTCGTTGCAAAACTGAAATGATGAAATAATTATTTACAAATAATTTTGCTCTTTAATTAGTATTTGAATGTTCCTTAATACTGAAATGTATTACTAGCAGTTAAGTAAAAAGTGATGATAACGGTTCAGTTTCCAAATACTTAGTTGATTTATGTGGCTACTAACAGAGAGACACAAATGGCATTGCATTAGGAGCCTTGGCAAATGGACACAGATGTGTTTAATGGTGAAGCTGATTGACGGGGCAGCTGAACTTGATCCCGGATGGCTCTGACCCTTTGACAGAGATGACACATGTCATCGTCACGCATTTCACTCAAGGGCTTCGTCGGCTTGCAAACCCCACGCAGTAGCTGTCTTTTTCACTGCACAGCGTCCAAAACCAATCAGAGGAGCCAATTTGGGAATCATTCAATGTCTTGGTTTTCAGTATTCAGATCTTTTACTTTGTTTTGTTGCGTCTAAATCACGTTCTCACTTCTTGTCCTCTGTCTTCCCGATTTATGTGGTAGAAGGCAGTTGTCGTAGACTCTGCGTGGGCAAGCATCAGTGTAAACAAACCTGAAACAATGTTCATACCAGCTAAGCTGACTCATGTCTGACACACAAACACCGTCATCTGGTCACAGAGCTTACTGGAAAACTTACAGGTTAAGACAGAGTTTTGTTTCTGTGACAAGTATGTCTAAAGTGCTGTGTAAGAGACTGAACGTCAGATTCATGATTCACTTTTATTTAGGTAGACAAAGCATGTTGTAATGCAGGACAGTGAAGATAGGAGACTTGGGAATGGGCTTTTTTTTTTAGTTTGGCTAGTAAGCAACAACCCTCCCACCACATAGCAAGATGCTAAAAACATCAACAACGTTGTAGTATTGTGGCTTTGAGTTTTGCACAGGCAATCAGCCGTCATATTTTAGTATTATTTATATACTGTTTAATTATTTACTTATTGTGTAATTTTAGGTGATGTTTTGGTAATTTTATGTGATTCTCCTTTTTATTAATTTTGTAATATTTCTATTTAGCATTAATAAATTTTTTTATTATTTTAATACATCAGCTTAAAATTATTTTGGTTCATTTAGTTAGTTGCAAATGCTACATTTTCATTTAACTTTGAGTTTTTCATCTAATATTGTATTTTTAAAATTATTTTTTAACTACCAAAATATATTTATTTATTTATTTCCAGCAGCTCACATTTTCTAAAAATTGAATTACTATTATTTTCTTAAAGATATCCATAAACCAGCCAGTCAAAAAAGATTTACTATGCTGAATGTTTACATTTCCAGAATAAATGATGTAAATAATGACTTCTTGTGGAGGTTTTAATGCACAAGAACTTGTTCATGTACTTTGTGTTATAACCTTCACCAACATATTTTCTTGATGATTTTGGTGCTTTTCAAATCATTTTTTGTGGTTATTGATGTTGTCCAACCTTGACCAGCAGTTGATCCCGTAGGAGTGAGATTCATCTGTGCACATTTTCCAAAAATGTTATTAAAAACTTATATCTTACTGCACACTTACCTCTGAAAATGACTTTTGGTTTTATCTGACGTCACCACGCAAATCCTAGTGTAATAAAAATATTTTATACTAATTTTAAATCTAGGTATGACCAAGTTGTTTGTTCAAGGTGTCTTTTAGGTCATACAAAACTTACACATGGATATTTATTAAAAGGTGAGCAACCACCATCATGCCTTACTTGCCAAACAAAAATGATTGTGAAGCATATTTCATTAGATTGTACTGTTGTTAATGTAAATAGACAACAGAGGTGTGTTTAACTGATTTATTTAAAAATGTATCACCTGAATGTATTTTATAATTTTTGTCTAGTGTAGATTTGAAATGTCTTTTACTTTTTGTTAATTGTATACCTTGTGTACTTTATTCTGAGATCGCCATGAAAATAGCCTTGATGCTGGCATGGCGTAAATAAATAAACATCACCACACCATAACATTTAAACTTTTCCAGATGCTACTGTTGAGTTTTTCCCAATGTATAATGTCGAGTCCCACCCTACATTTGTTTTTCTCGCTGAATAGCATTTTTCTCTTGAAATACATCATGCTACAAAAGTAAATTAGGTTGTATATTCCATTTCATGTTGCTTTTAAATAGAGCCCGACCGATATATCGTTTTGCCGATTTTATCGGCCGATATGAGCCTGTCGCAGATATATCGGTACCGATAAGATTTTTTTTTTTACAGAACATAAAACGCAGATAAAATGCTTGTAAATGGTGTAATCACGTCGTTTGTCCAGCAGAGCGCGCTCCATTGTTTGCTACTGGCGACCTGGATGAAACGCTTTAAAGCTTAA